GGGGGTGGGTGTTACACATATCTTGCTAATCTTTGACATAATGTAAACTTGACATTATTAATAAAGAACTCATCTACCCTTGCGGACCAGTAGGTTGTTTCGTCACGGTAATCCATCTTTTCAGGAAGACCCATAAAGACATTTCAACTTTGTCTGGCCATCACCGTGTGATTCAACAACATTAAGAATCAAACCTAGAACGTGCCATGTGAAATATAGACCTCGAATTCGTTCTCAACTATTGGACAACCCCTGTTCATATCTTGCTAATCTTTGACCTAGCAAAGTTTTATTATGCATCATTGGTTTGAAAAAAGTAGAGACCTTTTTAATCTACCAACAATTAATGTAACGTTCCCAAATATGCATATATCTTATATTCCAAGAACTATAGGCAGCATATAACATAGAATGCCCCACGCTGGGCAATATTTTAGTTTCGACATGGACAAGTTTAGCAGCAACATTTTGGATATGGTGGTGCAGACTAGGGATGGACAAATACCCATTGGTTATAGGTAACCGCGGTTACCTGCCCATTTAAATTAAACGGTTACGGTTATAGGTAACCGTTTAGTTAAATAAACGGTTATGGGTATAACCAGTTACCCGTGAAATTTAAATAGGCGGTTATGGGTATTAACCACGGTTATAAACGGATAACCGTTTATCCATTTATTTTATATATGTAAAACTAACACAAACCATGTTCTCATGTTCTCTATCCAATAATACTTAGCATCTAATAAATTAGCAAGGCATTCATCGGTCATTCTCTTAATAACACTACTACAAGAATGATGATTCTCATCATCAAGGAATTGGCTAAATTAATTTAAATTTCTTGCGGGTAACCGTGAAATTGACAAAAATGCTTTGACAGAAATGTCTTCTAAACAATTTTTGTAACCCAATAATACTTAGCAAATATTATATTTACCTTCATTGGTAACAATTAAAAATATCGTCCATAAACTATTATTTCAATTATTGGAATGGTATAAGGACTTAAAAAAATTAAAATATGGAAATGTATGATGAATGTACCTATACTGGTGTTTAATTGTCAAAAAAAAAATTATGACAATTTTTTTTTTAATTTTCAAGTTGTTAAAAAACATGTAGACATGTGAAAAAAGGGTAATGATAAAACAAAAAAAGATAAGGGGGTTAAAAAGGATAAATGGGTAAACGGGTATTAAACGGTTACGGTTAAATGAGTATACGGTTATGAATATGTTTAATCGTTTATAAACGGTTATGGGTATGAGTATAACCGTTTAGGCAATTACCCAACGGGTAAACGGCTATGCAGGTATGAGTATAAATGGTTATGGGTAAATTAACCGCGGTTACCTGCCCGCATAACCATTGCCCATCCCTAGTGCAGACAACATCTTTGAATGTAAAAGTCAGACATACGCAGAAGGACGATCAAAGATGGAAGGAATCAGGCGAATAGGAAGGGGGCGAAGGAGGGAGACAAGGGAGAAAGGACAAACAAAGACTTTCTCAACAATCAGAAAAAGACAACCAGTTTGTCTTACTTTCCAATGCTTTTCACGTTTCCTAAATTTTAATTGTTTTACTTTGTCTTTTCATAGCGTCAAGTAGCAGAGTAGGAACGGCCGAAATGCAGATATAAGAATAATGACCCCCCATGATACAATACATGACATACACAACAGCGAAACATAGAGAAAGAGAGAGATGGCTGCAGTCGAGGAAACAAGTAAGTTCTCCGAAGAGTATCCAATGAAAGGTGGAGATGGCCCCAACAGCTATGCCAACAACTCAACTTTTCAGGTTTATATGAATTCATTTCAAAGTCTCTTATTTTGTAGTGCTCACTTTTATCGAAGTCCTTGATCTCTTTGTATACGAAATTCAGGACGAACTAAGGCACAACCGGTAACTCGAACAATGATTTTGTATTTTGTAAATCCTTGCAGAAAGGAACGGTGGATGGTGCCAAAGAACTTTTAAGCAAGGCAGTTGCAGAAAAGCTCGATTTGTTATCTTCTAACACCTTTTACATTGCTGATTTGGGTTGCTCTGTCGGGCCAAACACATTTATCTCAGTTGAAAACATAATCGAAGCTGTGGAATTCAAGTTTCAGAGCCAAGGGCTGAATTCGCAGATCCCTGAATTTCAGGTCTTCTTTAATGATCATACTCTGAATGATTTTAACAGGCTCTTCAAATCCCTCCCGCAGACCAGGCGATACTACGCTGCGGGCGTGCCGGGTTCTTTCTATGGTCGTCTATTTCCTAGTACGTCTATTCATTTTTTTCATTCAACTTTTGCCCTTCATTGGCTTTCTAGAGTACCAAAAGAGGTGGTGGACAAAAACAGTCCAGCATGGAACAAAGGACGAATTCATTACTCAAACTCCCCTGATGAAGTTGTAAGGGCTTACGAAGCTCAACATGCTGAGGACATGGAGTGCTTTCTGAATGCCAGGGCACAAGAGATTGCAGACGGAGGAATCATGGTACTCGTCATTTTAGGCCGGCCCAATACTGTTCTTCATTCTGACTCTGTGGTAAATGTGAGCTTTCAACTTATAGGGTCTTGCCTCATGGACATGGCTAGGAAGGTGAGCAATGGTATTTCTGTTTCTTGTTTTGCGTTTAATTACACAAGAAATTTTATTTATGGCTTCCATGTGTTTTTCCTTTGCGCAGGGAGTAGTAAGTAAGTGAAGATAAAGTAGATACATTTAACTTTCCTGTGTATTACATGACTCCCCAAGAACTGGAAGCTGCTGTAGAAAGAAATGAATATTTTAGTTTAAAGAAGTTGGAAACAGTACCTCACATTCCGATTCCTCCCACTGTCTCTCCAAGCCAACTCTTTGTATCTCTCGCGAGAGCTGCCTTTGAGGAAGTCATCAAGCAGCAATTCGGAGAAGAAATCTTAGATGAGCTCTTTGACTCGTATCTCAAGAAACTTGAAGAGCAACCCTCCATCATTGCGTCAGCGACTGAAACTGCAATCATCTTTCTTGCCGTGCTTAAGCGCAAGTAAAATGATGCGAACATGATGTCTCAGTACTCATGAAGATGTTGTCAAATTTCATTTGCTTCATTGTTATGTTAGTTTTCTTTTTTATACGATTAAGTGGAATAAAACCTCTGTACGAGTCTTAGCTCAAGTGGCTTGGGAAGACGAGATGGAAATGTTGGTTTCCCCTTGTAACCGAAAATTCACTGCAGGAGAGAGATACTTTCTAGCCTGCCGAATGTGTTATTATTATAATGTCACATCCCGGCCCGGGGCGAACCACTTCCCGGGTCCGCTCCACCACCATAACACGATATTGTTCGTTTTGGGCCCCAACTACACCCTCACGGTTTTGTTTCTGGGAACTCACGAGCAACTTCCCAGTGGGTCATCCATCATGGGAGTGCTCTGGCCACCTTCTCGCTTAACTTCGGAGTTCCGACGAAACCCGAAACCAGTAAGCTCCCAAAAAGCCTCGTGCTAGGTAGAGATGAGAAAATACATTTAAGGATCACTCCCCTGGGCGATGTGGGATGTTACAATCCACCCCCCTTAGGGGTCCGACGTCCTCGTCGGCACACTTCTAGCATGGATTGGCTCTGATACCAAATCAAGCCCCCACCACATCTTGGGCTCGACTCCACCGTAGCACGATATTGTCCGCTTTTGGCCTCGACCACGCCTTCACGATTTTGTTTCTGGGAACTCACACGAGAACTGCCCAGTGGATCACCCATCCTAGGATTGCTCTCGCTGCTATCTCGCTTAACTTCGGAGTTCCGATGGAACCCGAAGCGAGTGAGCTCCCAAAAAGCCTTGTGCTAGGTAGGGATGGGAATATACATTTAAGGATCACTCCCTTGGGCGATGTGAGATGTTACAATATTTGTCACATCCCGGCTCGGGGCGGACCATATCCCGAGCCCGTTCCACCACCGTAGCATGATATTGTTCGCTTTGGGCCCCGACCACGCCCTCACGATTTTGTTTCTGGGAACTCACGAGCAACTTCCCAGTGGGTCACCTATCATGGGAGTGCTCTGGCCACCTTCTCGCTTAACTTCGGAGTTCCGACGGAACCCGAAGTCAGTGAGCTCTCAAAAGACCTCGTGCTAGGTAGAGATGAGAATATACATTTAAGGATCATTCCATTGGGCGATGTGGGATGTTACATATAATCTGTTTGAAAACCTTAATTCACATATAATGCATTGTATCATATTAAGCTAGCCTTCCAATTTGTCTCAAACTGCATCATAACAATTGTCTATTAATTTTGCTTTTAATTGTGTTTGTACCATACTTTACTAATTCCGAAATTATCCAGCACCAATCAACTTTATACTTTCAGAAAGATTCGTGTTAAGGCCCTCTGCCAAGGCACAAGAGTTTCTTTCTAATCAGGAGATCAATCACAACGCTATATGTGTCAACATCAGAAACTTCCTGCCGAGGCACAAGAGTTTCTTTCCAACCAGGAAATCAATCACAATGCTACATGTGTCAACTTCAGAAACTTTCTAGAGTCTTATATTGGTCGATGAAAAAGCGTCATCAACTATAAAAGGAGACCATTATTAGAACTTATTAGTAATGACTATGCTTGAATCTTTGTAGAATGTAAACTCTACATTATTAATGCGACACCTCTACCCTCGTGGACCAACGGGTGGTTTTGTCGCGGCAATCCACCTTTTCGGGGGTCAGGAAGACTCACATAGATATTTCAGCCTCTTCTGATCACCATCATTTGATTCACCAATACTATGAATCAAATCCAGAATGTGCTATGTGGAATACGGACTTGAAATTTGTTCCCAATCAGTGGGACACCCCATGGTTGTTCATATTTGCTAATCTTTGACCTACCAAAGTTTTCTGCATCATTGGTTTGGAAAAAGTAGAGACCTTTTACTTTACCAACAATTAATGAAACATTCCCAAATATACATATATCTTATAATCCAAGAACTATAGGCAGGCAACTATGTAACATAGACAGCCCCACGCTGGGCAATCTTTTAGTTTCGACAAGGATAAGTTTAGCAGCAGCATTTTGTATATGGGAGTGCAGCCAGCACCTTTGAATGTAGAAGTCAGACATATGGAGAAGGACGATCAAAGACGGAAGGAATCAAGCGAATAGGAAGGGGGCGAAGGAGTGAGACAAGGGAGAAGGACAAACAAAGTCTTTCTTAACAATCAGAAAAAGACCACCAGTTTGTCTTACATTCCAATGCTTTTCAAGTTTCCTAATTAATTGTTTTACATTGTCTTTTGATAGTGTCAGGTAGTAGAGTAGGAACGACAATGCAGATATAAGAATGATGAACCTCATGATACAACACATGATACACACAGCAGAGCAACATAGAGAAGGAGAGAGATTGTTCTGGAGGAAGATTGACAACCAAAAACTCTTAAATGAGAATAACTGGGTTCCTTATGGAAAAGTTTTTCAAAAGGTGTTTTTCCTTGAAGGATTGGAGTTGGTGTTCAATTAATCAAGTAAGCCGCTGTAAGTATGGCATCCCCCCAAAAAGGTTTTGGCAAATTGGCTTGGAAAAGAAGGGCCCTGGCCATGTTGAGCAAGTGGCGATGTTTGCGTTCAGCAACACCATTTTGTTGTGGTGTGTTGACGCAGCTAGTTTGGTGGATAATGCCTTGAGAAGAATAAAATTGGGGAATCTTAAACTCCAGACCGTTGTCACTCCTAACGACCTTAACATTTTTACCAAACTGAGTTGCAGCCAAATGAATAAAATGGGTGAGGAGAGTGTGTGCTTCAGACTTGTGTTTCATCAAATACATCCAAGTGCTTCGTGAATGGTCATAAAAAATTGTTAGGAAATATTGTGCACCAGAAAAAGTTGGAACATGATAACCTCCCCAAATATCAATGTGAATTAAATCAAAGCAAGATGCACTACGAGTAGTACTTAATGGAAACGGTTGTCTAGTGAGTTTGGCTAAAGGACAAACAAAACAAGAGCTTGAATCACAAGCTTTATTTGCAAGAAATGAAAATAATGAAGATGCTTTATTTGAAGGATGCCCAAGTCGTTCGTGCCATAAACTGTCCGAGTTGGTGTGTACCACATTGCATGTTCCTTTCTTTGGTAGATTGAGTCGGTAGAGTCTTTCCTTCTCAGTTCCTGTCCCAATCATCTTCCCCAATTGTAGGTCATGTATGACACAAATTTGTCTTAGAAATATAGTAATATGGAAAGAGTCGAATGCTAGTTTGCTCACAGAAATCAAGTTAAGGTAAAACAAGGGTACACATAGAACGTTATGAAGAACAAAATGTGGAGAGAAGGCTATGGTGCCAACATGAGTAACACGTGCTGTGGTACCGTCGGGAAGTTTGACCCAACGATTAGAGACTATCTTAAATGAGGTAAGCAAGCTGGGATTACAAGCAATGTGATCGCTTGCACCACTATCTAATATCCATATTGGCTATTTACTATTTTGTGCACCTGAACAAAGTTTACCTGAAAGCTCTTCATAATTGGGAATGTTACCGACCAAATTGGCTGAAGCAGCCTTCGTTTTGGTTAGGAGCTGATTGAGAAGTTGATGACACTCTTCTGGTGAAAAAGGGAACTCACTCACAGCTTCCTTTTGATCATTTTGAGGAGCTAATTGATTTGCTTTTGATCTTGCTTGGCCACTTTCAGTAGCATTTTTCCTTCTTCAACAGTAGTCATATGTATGTCCCTTCCCATTGCAATATGTGCATTTGAGATGAGCTCTGCAGTTCTTTGTGTTGTGGTTGGTCATGTTGCATTTTTCACAGAATTTTGCTTCTCCTTCTATAGACTTGAAATCACGAGTCATTTTCTTTACTACAGAAGCAGAAGATTCTTATGGTGTCGTGGACTTGCCAACAGTAGTTTCTGCCTGCTTCTCTTGGTGTAGTACCATCGCATAGGCTTTGTTCAGGTTCAGAAGTGGATCTAACCCTATGATGTTGCTGCGAGTCTCTGCAAAATTCTCATTAAGTCCCATAAGGAATTTCATGATCTTTTGCGTCTCCATAAACTTCTTAACTTCAGCTGCTGCTTCACAGGTACAAGTAGGAAAAGAACAGAGAGCATCCTTTTCATCCCATAGGCTTTTGAGTTTTGTGAAGAAGGAAGTCACTGAGTTTGTGCCCTGCTCACATTCATGTCTGGCGTTCTCTATATGGAACAACGAAACCGTATTAGTGTGAAAGAATCTCTCTTGCAACTCTAACCACATACCTCTACCATCCTTGCAATGGATAACACTGCTCGAGATGTCTTTTGACATGGCTCCTAGCAACCAGGTTTTGACAAGGACGTTGCATCGGTCCCATTGCAGTTATTCATCAGGATTGTGAGTCGGCCTTTTTAGGGTTCCATCAATAAAACCCTTCTTGTTTTTTATGGTGAACGCCATGTTCATTGACTGCACCCACATTGTATAATTGTCTTCCATTAGTGGTTATGAAACAAGGACCGCACCTGCGTTTCCTTTCAAAGGCGTTTCCTTTCAGCGAGCGCACAAACTGCTTGGTGAGGTAGTCCCCTTCGGTCCTTGCGTTGTTGCAAGTTTCAACAAAGTGGGTAACGTGCTGTTTCGGGTTTCCCTTTCCATCAAATTGCATGAACTTTGGCGGTTGATAACCCCTCGGCATCTTTAAGGCGTCAATCTTCTTTGAATACGGCTTCGAGTACAACCCGGAGGTATTTGAGCTCCCTTCGTACTGTGCCTTGATGGTGTTGGTGATCATCTCCTGCAGCTGCTGGATAGAAAGAGATCACATGAGTGCCGCTGCTTGGTTTGGCTCCGGCTTCACATCGATTCTCTCCACCGAAAGCTCATCTTCTTCGCCAGCTCCTCTTTTTAGTGGATCATCTTCTGGGTTAGGGTTCTCGCCGTCCTGTGGCTCCAGTCGGCTGACGAGTGCAGCGACTTGCAAGTCTTTTTCTTCCATAATTTGTGTTAGCCTTGCAATCGCTTCATTCATTTGAGCCAGTTGTTCTTCGATGGAGGTAACGCCGATGGTCGTGACTTGTGCAACCAATAGACGTGACTTTCCTTTAGACATCCAGGATGCTGATGAAGAACGTCGTTGGCTGCTTTAGGATGTCATCTTGTGTGCCTCAGCATCATGCTTCGGTGCCTCCAGCGAGGTCAGGTTGATGACGGACTCGCGCCTTTGATGCTCCCCTTGTTTATTTAGCGGCATCAACTTTGAAG